ATAGAATAAAAAGAAAATAGAAATGTATAATTAATTACATTTTATATACATTTTACTATTATATACAATAAATAAACTATAAAAATATATCCTATTTATACATGTATACAAATATATACGTACATACATAAGCATACATATATTCATACCAACATACATATACAAATAATACATATAAATAACTATAAATATATACGTCTAAAATATAAATGACATGGATGATTCATCTAAGTAGCGTTGTCTTTAACAGATAGATGATTACGCACCAACTTTTTAAAAGCAAACTTATTGGGAGCTTTTCTGATGTCGTCAGGCAAGGAGTTCCAAAGGCGTGCAGCCTGAACTGTAAAGGAGTTACCATAGAACTCGGTGAAGTGAACTGGAATACATATTTTGTTGTTAGAAGACGAACGTAGAACCCTATCTTGAGATGAGGAGAGATAGTGAAATTTGCTCTTAAGATAAGAAGGCGAAAATGGGTCATTTAATATGGAAAAAAGAACAAGTAATATTCTGGAAATACGCCTCTGCCGGATTGTAAGCCAATTAAGCTTAGATCTATATTGCGAAATATGGTCATACTTACGAAGCCCGAAAATAAACCTTATACAGTTATTGAGAAGGCGTTCCAGCTTGTTCAGAAGATCCTGGGACAGATCTGGGTAACACACATCTGCATAATCAATTATGGGTAATATGAGTGATTGGACAAGCATGATCTTAGACTTTGTGGGGAGAAAATGTTTTAAACGATACAGAGTACGTAACGTAGCAGTGACTTTACGACTGACTTCAGTAACCTGAGTTCTCCAATTCAGCGTGTTGTCAATGTGTAGGCCAAGATTTTTTACAGACTTACTGAACGGTATTGTAATCCCATTGTAGTAGATAGAGGGTATGTCTGCAAGATTAATCTTGGCTAGCATCCTTGAGCTACCCACCAGTATAGCTTGGCATTTTGAAGGATTGACCAATACTCCATAACGAGTAGACCAATCCGCATTCACTCTGTGAAGAGCAAAAAGCGGCTCGTGTTACTTGGTGCATCAGAACTCCCGAAAGATTCCACGCAGGATCCTTAAATGCTGTATACAACATCGTATCAGGTGACGAATCTTGGATATACGCGTACGAACCCGAAAGAAAAAACCATTCACGAGTTTGGGTGTTCGAAAATGAGTTAAAGCCAACAAAAAATGTTCGTTCACGGAGTGTTGCAAAAAAAATGGTGGCCACGTTTGTCTCCAAAACCGGCCATGTTACGACTATTCCTCTTGAGGGACAAAGAAAGATTAATGCAGAATGGTATGCTAGCATTTGTTTGCCACAGGTCGTTTCTGAACTCCGTAAAGAGAACTGCAACCGCCGCATCATCCTCCATCACGACAATGCGAGTTATCACACCGCACACGGAACAAAAGAGTTTTTAGAGCAAGAAAACATAGAATTATTAGACCATCCGCCGTACAGCCCCGACCTAAGGCCTAATGATTTCTATACTTTCCTTAAAATAAAGAATAAATTGCGTGGACAGAGATTTTCATCACCTGAAGAAGCTGTGGACGCCTACAAAACGGCCATTTTGGAGACCCCAACTTCCGAATGGAATGGTTGCTTCACTGATTGGTTCCATCGTATGGATAAATGAGTCAAATTTCGCGGAGAATACTTCGAAAAGCAATAAATACATTTTTAAATAGTAATGTTGTGTCACTTCCTTGATTCCCGAAATTTTCAGTGCCGCCCTCGTAATATCCCTCAACACACAACCTAAACCTATCATTAACATAAAAACTTTTACACATCAGTTTTGTACGTGAAAGGGTTAAGTTGTAATTACTGCTCTGTAATTAAAGTGTCGATTTTGGTAATACAATCGGCAGTTTTTAATTGTCTCGAACCCAAAGCTCGTAACAATTGGTGTCAGAAGTGGGATCAAATCATGCCGATTTTACCAAAGTACGACATGGAGGGTAAACGTACCCGAAGTCAGAGTCAGCCAGCTGGAGATGGACCAAAGACGATTCGGTAATGCAACGCCGCAAACGGAGGCCGGCCCGTCAGCAGCTCCTGCATCTGAATCACCTGACTTAGGTGCTCTGATAATGATGCTGCAAGAGCAGGCCCTCCGACAGGAGGAACAGGTCCGTCGGTTGGAAGAGAAGCTGCAGCGCGGTATGGAAGAGCAGATGCTCCTCATGAAGGACCTTCACGCTACCTTCGGGAAAGAGATAAGGGAGGTGACGGATAGGGTTGCTCAACATAAAAACCGCCTGTCGGAAGCTGAAACTCGAATCGACCAAGTGAACAATCGGGTTGACAACGTGATGGCTGACGTGAAGATAACGCTGGACGACCTCAAACTTGGGGATGGAATTACAGCTTCCGTGGTAGCTACAACACCTTCGCTACGTGGATTCAAAGTGCCACCGTTCGACGGGACTTCTTCCTGGTCGACCTACAAAATCCAGTTCGAGGCTGTCATGAAGAAACTTAAGCTTAACTGTTCTCGAAGCTCTCGGTAAGTAAGTGACTTACGAGCAGCTCCTTGAGGCTTTGGAGGCTAGATATGGCGACGCTCACCTGAAACACGTCTTTCGTGCGCAGCTCAAAGATCGCGTGCAACGTATCAACGAAAACCTGCAGCAGTGGGCCCTTGAGATGGAGAAGCTGGTTCGGAAAGCATACCAGTCTGTACCTGCGTTCATTGTAGGGAACCTGGTGCAGACATTCATCGACGGCATCCGTGACCTTGAAGTCAGAGCTGCTGTGAGGCTCGAGCACCACAAGACGCTTAAGGACGCGTTGGCCAATGCACTGGAGGTGGAAGCCGTGCGGCAGGATCATCGCTCCCATCGCGTCAGGGAGGTTGCAGCAGCTACAGTTCGCGACCGTAATAAAAGATTCGACCCTAGGTGCTACGGCTGTGGGGAAAGGGGCCATCTTCGATCCAGCTGCCTTAAGCGAACTGAAGAAAGGGGAGGTGACCGATCTCGAGAGGGTAGTGCGGCTAACAGCACCGCCCAACAACAGCAGGGAAACTGGCGGAGACTGGCGCGTTATTATGGGGCCCATAATGCTCGGGAAGAGCATGTCTTAGGAGGGGGCAGTGTTGCGCGCCACTATTAAGGTCTTGTACATGGCAACACTAGTTACCACTAGCGCCCTCTAGTATCGAGTAGCAGAACTAGGAGAGTCAAGATCCTTCTAGAAATATCGGGACCGACATGTACTCGAACATGTACTCGACATGTTTCTATAATAGAAGATTCTGGAAACTACCTGAGGCCCTATATAAGGCCGGTATAGACCGCGACCGAGTCAGTATTAAATTGGCGAATACTTCGAAGCGATACAACTGCGAACTAAAGTGATCAGTAGTACAATTGTGTTTTATTATTAGTGTGATTTAAGTTGTAATTAGTGCTCTGTAATTAAAATGTCGATTTTGCTAATTCAATCGGCAGTTTTTACTTGTCTCGAACCCCAAGCTCGTAACAATACCATACCACGGATCGAGTCGTATTATCTTAGGAGCCCAAACGTCACTGGAGTATATTCAGTGTGATAAATCTTTAGCAGACTCATACCGTGACCACTAGGAAAATCGTACAAAAGAGTACCATGTGTTTCTTCATCTGCTTTTAACCGCATTTTTAATAGACTTCAATATTTCCTTCCACACGCCAAAGATCAGTGTGATCTCTGCGAACGTTATAAAAATGCTAACGAATAAGGAGAAAGAAAAGGATTATTGTAGTTCACGAAAATTACTTGAAAAAAAAAGAACTATCCAGAAGAGAGCAAGAAAAAGACAAAGCTAGGGGTCAACAAACAACACCATTGTTATTGTTTATGACTTACAGGCTGTGATGCCGATACCATAGGGCCCAATTTCAGTAAAGCTCGTCTAAGCTGAAATGACGCGCCCCACTATCGCATTAACGCACACAAGCAAATTTAAAATATGGACGCAATACATATACAAATGCCGTTGTAATTGGTCATTCAGTTGCCGGTGAGCACGCGTCGTTCGATTGTAAAAGTACCGTCAGCATGTCGACCAAAAAACATTTACGGAGTCAAATAAGTAAAATAATACGTTATTGCTTAAAATCTTATTTAATCATAATTGTTTTTATGGTGGTTTACATGCATACATTTTACAGGCAAAAGAAATTACTGCGAAAGTGTACCGTAGAATGAAATATGGAGTGGAAAAACTATCTCACGCTAGATGGCGAACTGCCCAAGCCGTTGGTGTTAGTGAATCTACGATTACACGAATTTTGAAAGAAGAGAAACAAGCTAGTACATCAAATGATACCTCACAAAAATTTTTTAGATCGCCCTCAAAACCAAAAAGGAAGCGTACCAAGTCCAACCTGGATGATTTTGATATGGGTATACTTCGCAGAACGATAGCGACATTTCATACAGAATTTAATGAATTACCAACGTTAAGAAAGCTGAAACAAGTATTAACAGAAAGAATTGGTTTTAACGGTTGTATAGAAACTCTGCGTATCATTTTGAAGGAATCGGGCTACGAGTGGTCCAAAATAGATGACAACCGTAAGAGCAGGTACACATTAGGCGCTTTGAAACGCGCGATTTACTAACGCGCGTTTTGACATCCAAAAGTCCCTATTGAAGTGTACACATGCAAGCGCGCGCTTTTGATCAAGCCCGCGTCGGACGCGCGCTCTCAGAATTTCATTGCAACGCGCGTTGCGCGGGCGTCAGCTGCGCGCTTGTAGATACATGTACCGCCATTTTGCTGTACATTTGATCGCGCGCTTTCGTGTAGGATGCACGTATATCATGGAGATCGAACACTTCGATACAGATTTATTTATCGACGAAATCCAAAAGCGTCCAGCTATATGGGACATGCAAAGTCCAGATTATAAAAATAAAATATTAAAAAAACGTAATTGGGAGGAAATAGTTGAAATTTTTAGTGACTGTGAAGACAATTTGGAAAAGAAAAAACTGTTGGGTGAGTATAATTATTTATTGATGTTTTCTATAATTATATCATGTTGTTTTGCCACTGTAATTTTCCCTCAATCACAAAATAATTGGCAAATTTTTCTCTTGCTGTTCTAGCACATAAGCTGCCTCGTGGTAAATTTTCTAAATGTATAGATTGTAGAGGTGAAACATAAAGTGTATCTTCATATCTGTAACCATCGCGCATTCGAACGTAATTATGTAGTACTGTGCAAGCTTTGATGATACCCTCCGCGAAATCTATGTTTACATCTATCGGTCTATGAAATATTCGCCATTTATTGCTCATTATTCCGAAAGTACATTCAATATAGCGCCTTGCTCTCGATAACCTGTAATTGAAAACTTTTTTTGTGTGTGTGAGTTGTGTTCCTCCATACGACCGCATCACATTCGACATAATTCCAAATGCTTCATCGCCGACGAACACATGAGGCAATGGAGTTCTATCGATATTTGATATAGGCTTGGGGTTAGGAATGTTTAACTTATTATTCACAATCCGTTTAAAAAATTCGGAATTTTTAAAAATAGCAGAATCACTGGTTTTGCCATAGGATCCGACATCAACGTATACAAAACAATAATTTGCATCACAAACTGCTAGTAAGACTGATGAGAAGTATGTTTTATAATTATAAAAAAGCGACCCTGTATGTTCTGGTTGTATTAGCTCAATATGTTTCCCGTCAATCGCACCAATACAATTTGGGAAGTTAGCGTATTTCTTAAAACCTTCTACTACTTCTTTCCACTTTTCTGTTGTCATTTCAGGCATAGATGTAAACTTCAATTTGCTCCATAGTACTTTACAAACTTGTTCCACTATCTTTATAATTGTCGATTTTCCAAGACGGTATCCGTAATGCAAATCAGCGAAAGAGCAGCCTGTGGCAAAGTATCTGTCAAAATAAAAATGGTTATTGTTTATTTTCAGGTGGTACACTTATGAAAAAATGGAAAAGCATTCGGGACAATTATCTTAGGGAGTCTAAGAGGCAAAAAAAGCTTCCATCTGGATCTGGATCTTCCAAACATACGCCATATGTGTATTACAGGAAATTACAATTTCTTCCGAATTCTACAGCATATAACGACACAGAGAGCAATTACCAATCTTCTGGCACAACTGGTTCAGATGTAGATAATATTATAGACAATGCAGACTTGATGCCACCTCCTAAAGATCAAATGGAAGGCCCAAGGAAAAGACAGAAAATAAATGCTGTAGATAAACAAATAGTCGACATTTTACAGAAAAGTTTAAATGCAAGGGAACAAAATGAAATGGGGCGACTAACTAAAGAAGACGATGATAAACTATTGTTTATCATTGTACAGTGAATTAAAAAAATTGCCCGAAAATCGACGCTTAACTACAAAGATTGAATTACTCAATGTCATTAAAGAAGCACAGAATAATCATCAATCATTACCACTAGAAACTAATCATCACCAATACACATATTCTACACCGACATATTCTGGATATACTACTGCTAGACCCTCAACAACACAACAGTGGTCTACCACGCCGCCACCACCGCCGTCATCATGGTCACCGTCACGTTCAGCCTCCAGCCAAGATTCAGACAACTTAGATTTATTTGAATAAACAAATATACTTACCTTAACGTTATCACCAGTAATATCTACTTTAATAACATGGAGTAAGTCATCAAATGATTTTATGGACATTCTAAAATAATTAAAAAACTTAGGTTCATATTGCCTTAATTTTGGATACAATGTTACAAACATTCCATGCGTCAGTCTATCTCGTAATATTGGGTGCACCCAATATTCCCTTTGCCTCTGCCGTCGTCTTTTATAGCGACGGTATAGAAGCCACACACAAGCGATCACTTCAAAGTCCATTTCCGAACTGAACTAGTAGTATGGACACCTTGGTAACGCTCGTTAAACGCCGTGCTAAGCGCGCTGTATGTATGCTACAAGCGCGCGCCCATAACAACGCCGAGCAACAAATGTGTACCCGGTCTAAGGCCCATAGCACACGGCGTATTTAAAACGCGCAGGAGACGCGCGTTTCAGGAACGCGCATCTTCGGCGCCGTAGACGCTGATTGTTGCGTTTGCATTGATGATACAAGCGCGCGCATGAAGCGCGTATACGCGCGTTTGAAGCGATACAAACGCGCGTACAAAGGAGCGGAGTAGGGGCAGGGGGGGGAGCGCTCACGCCACCACTTCACCGCCCGCGCCTCAGTTGCAATAATTGTTTATTGTGTGCTGCGCGTGTATTTGGTTTAAAATGGAACCCTTCGACACCGACCGCTTCATAACAGAAATAAACAATCGTCCCACTACATGGAATTCACTACTGCCCGAATATTCAAACAAAGTGTTAAAAAGAAATGCTTGGGATGAATTGTGCCAAATTTTTTATAACAATTTCCATGAAAAACCCAGTAAGGAAAAAAACCTGGCAGGTAAGATTTATTATATTTATTTAAAAAATAATGTATTTGTTTTAGGACTACACATAAAACATCGCCGTAAAGATAGCCACCCCATGTCGCGTGCCCACGTTTTATGGTGTTAAATCGTTAGTTGTGATAAGTTCTGGCGTAATTTTCGTTTGTTCCGCTTTCCTTCTTACGATTTTTTTACTTATTGGAACTAACGATTTAGCACCCTAAAACGTGGGCACGCGACATGGGGTGGCTATCTTCACGGCGCACGTTGGGCCGAATCTGAAAAAAAGGAACTTATGAATTAAAAATTTGTCATCATATCTCTTTAAATATTCGTTTTTAGAAAAAATTACAATTCATAAATGTTGATTGTATTGACGGCTTCTGTCGATTGGCTGAACAAAAAATTGACGTTTCGAAAAAAAAATCGTAAGTTCCTTTTTTCAGATTCGGTCCACCGTGCGGCGGTACATAGAACAGTAAAACAGTAGAACATGTAATTAGGTAGGTACCCTAAATTTTAGAATCTTGCCATGGTACTGCACCTTCATCGCTAATAAAATAATCAGTGTACATATTTCGTATCGTAGTTCCGCTTAATTGTCCCTGTGACCGTCTTGCACCAATCAAAATCAAACTTGCATCTTCAGGAGGATCTCCTAAACCAGCTATACTCAAAGAATTATGAAAATTATAACCGTCACGTTCACGTATGAAATTATGCAGTACACAACAGCCTTTCACAATAGCCACACTGAAGTCCACGCTAACGTTCAGTGGTCGATTAAAGATTTTAAATTTGTTGCTTAATATACCAAATGTACATTCAGTGTATCGTCTGGCACGTGTCAAGCGGTAATTATATATTCTTTTTTCTCGTGGCAAGATTTTTCCAGCGTAAGGTCTCTGTAAATGTTGAGATAATGCAAAGCCTTCATCTCCAACAAACGTAAATGGTATTGGCACTCCATTATTAGATATTGGTCTCGCATTTGGTATATTATAATTTCCTTGCCTTATCTTTTTGGTCCATTCACTACATTCATTTATTGTTGAGTCTGCCGCCTTTCCATAGCATCCAACATCTATATCGATGAATCTGTAATTTGGGTCACATATTGCAAGCAATACGATGGAAAAATATTTTTTATAATTAAAATACTCTGATCCACTATGTTGAGGTTTTATAACTCTAATATGTTTCCCATCGATAGCCCCAAGTAGGTTGGGAAAATTTGCGTATTTCATAAATCCTTCAGCAGTTTATAGATGCGATTCTTCGGTTGGTTCTGGCATGCAGATGTTTTTTAATTTATCCCATATTATTTTCACTGTTTCACGGACTATAATGCCTGCCGTCGTTTGTCCACACTTAAAGTCATAGTGAATATCTGAGAAATAGCAACCCGTAGCTAAATACATGAAAAAAATAACATTATTAAAACTTCTATTGTCATCGTAAATTTTACATATTTAATTAAAATTAACCTAAAACTACTTATTTCAAATAAATTAAAATTAACCTAATAAATAACTAAACTATTGACATTATTATTGTTTTCAGTCATTGATCTTCAAAAAAAATGGAAGAGTATTAAGGACGCTTATAAAAGAGACAAAGCGAAGAACAATAACTGTTCCAGTGGATCTGGAGCTAAGCCTAGAAAACCCTACATATATTCCAATTTGCTAACTTTTTTAGACCCGCTTTACGAAATAAGATCTCCAAGTCAAAATGATGATGCAGCACTGGGGCATGACAAAGACTGTGATTTTCAAAAGCCACATTCACCAAAGAAGTCTAAAAAGACTCCAAAACATGAAGACCCACAGGACAAATTGTATGAAGCACTGACAGCAAATCTCAAACATCTCTATCGTCTAAAGCGAATAATACAATTTTATCTGAAAATCCCGACATACTGTTCTTAGTTTCATTAGCTAAAGATTTTTCGGCCATCAAAGAGGAATTTAAGTTAGAGGCCAAAGCTGATATGATAAATTTAATTCGTAAATATAAAAATATGGGACAGTCATCGAGAACGTTACATGAAAATAGATACCAAGGTGCATTTCAATATGAACATCAGTATGGATACCAGTCTGGATATCAGTCTGAATTTCAGCCTCAATATCCAAGTAATCAATCAGCGCCAAGAAACGAATCTGTGAGTTCACTCCAAAATTTGGATAGCAATGAATCGGTTACAAATGACTCCGATATCATATCTGACATGTATGATGATATTGAATAAATATTTTTCTCTTATTAATAATCTAAGTGCACTTATAACATTTTACGATTGATTTAAAACTGTAACAGGTCAATAAATAAATAAATACATAATAAATAAATAAATAAATACTAGTTGTTTTCTTACCTCAATGTGATGAGCAAACGTTCTTCTGCCGATATACATGATCTCATTACTGTATTTTGACGAGTTAACTCCGGTTTAAGGGTCCGTTCACACAGACCGGCTCGGAGAGGAGAGCAGATTTTTATCACGTTGGAAACAGTGTTTTGAGTGATTGTAGTAAAGTTTATTTTTGCATTTGCACCTTTTTTGTCATTAAAAATGCCTGAACGCGCTTCGTGTGAAGTAATAAAAGGAGCCGACCGGCTCCGCTTGCGTGCTCTTTCTCGCTCGCGCAGCCGATCGGCTCTGATTGCGTGCTCTTTCTCGCTTACGCAGCCTGTCGGCTCCGATTGCGTGCTCTTTCTCGCTCGCGCAGCCGATGGGCTCCGATTGCGTGCTCTTTCTCTATCGCGTAGCCGATCGGCTCCGATTGCGTGCCCGCTGCGGCCGCGCCGACCGCCATTTTGATAGCAACATTTGAACGTAATAGTTGTGCGTACTTGTACGAAAAGATGAATGATGAAAAATTAATAATACTCGTGTCAAAATATGAGTGTTTATTTGACATAACCAAGCCATCATATAGCGATCGGATAATGAAAGACAATGCATGGGAAGAAATTAGCAAATGTCTCGGAATAAGTGGTAAGTAAGGTTTTCATTGTTTTACACCTACCCCCAGATACTCAAACGAATTTTAAAGCAAGGGCTTCTTAAACTCGTGCTGCGACGTGTTAGATTCAAAGTCAAAATAGGAATAACATGAGTTTAAATGCGCCCTTACTTTAAAAACTCGTTTGAGTATCTGATCGTTAGAATATACTTATGTAGTAGACAATTTTTATTAAATATAACTTAAGAAACTCGCGTAGCCACTTCATCTTGCCAATCTAAAGCACCACTTGATGAAAAATAATCCTTAAATTTATTCCTTGTGGTTAGAACTGCGTCGCTATTAGAACTGTTTTCATTATTATTGTCTGTTATTGCTGTTAATAAATTTATATTGCTGTGAAATTCATTCTCTTGTCCTGGCGTCCGATTTTCTATTAAAAAATTATGTAAACATGTAGTTGCTAATATAATTAAATCACAGTACTTCGGCTGAATTTTCATTCGTTTTTGATAAATTTCAAATCTTTGAGTTAGCATTCCAAATGCACATTCTACGACTTTTCTTGCCCTGCTTAAACGCAGATTAAATACTTTTTTTGATAATTCTGTTCTTGCTTGTTCTCTTGGATACGGCCGCAATATATTATTGCTCAAAGGAAATGCCTCGTCTCCTATAAAAACATGTGGTAAGCTTTCAGTGGTACTAGGTAGAGGTTTATTTGGGGGCAGCTTTAACTTATTGGTGTTGAGTTTTTTCCAAAATTTTGAATTCTGTAAAATTCCGCCGTCGCTATTTTTACCATATGATCCGACATCAACAATTAAAAAACTGTATTTCGCGTCGACCACAGCTAGTAACACTGTACTGAAAAAGTTTTTATAATTATAGTATAAGCTTCCACTATTATCTGGTGCCTGTATATTGACATGCTTTCCGTCTATAGCGCCCAAACAGTTAGGAAAATTCCAAATATTAAAGAAATCACGTGAAACCTTTTCCCACATTTCTTCATCTGGCATCTGCATAACTATGGGCATCAAAACATCACAAATTACTCTGATTGTCTCATGAATAATTGAATGAACTGTAGAAATTCCCATTCGAAAATTAAATGACAAGTTTTTGAAACTGCAACCAGTGATGAGGAATCTGTAAAAATAAAACAAACACACAAAATAGAAATATAAGACTGCCGTACCAAAACGAACTATAAAATAAAAAAGAGTTATGTTATTAATTTTTCATTTCTGTTCTTTCCAGTGACGCAGTGCCAGGATCGTTGGAAGAAACTGCGAGATAACTTCAGAAAAGCCTATTATAACCGAAAAGGCAAGAGTGGCGATGGTGCAACTACGTCCAAATTGATAAAATTTGAAAAAGAACTTTCTTTTATAATACCATTTTTTCGCAATCGAAACCAAATATCTAATGTAACATTATCATCGGATGATTCAGAGCCTGGCACACCAATACCACCACCATCGACATCATCTAAACGTTCTGACCATTCTGAAGTTGAATCGCTTGCAAGTACTTCTGGCTCGAAAAAGAGACCACGCTTAAGCAAAGATGTTGCTACGGTTTTCGAAGAGTATCTTGAAGAAAAAAGAAATACTACACCCCGTGACAAGGCATTACGTAATTTTTTTTTGTCTATGTCAGATACAGTGGAAACATTCCCAAAAGAAGTCCAAGCACGAATTAAAAGGCGCGTGTTTAACATTGTTAATGAAGCTGAATTAAGTCTGTATGAAAATAGTACAGATTTGAATTATTCTTTGTCTATAAATTCACCGCCATCGACTAATCAATCTACTTACCTAGTGTCAAACGAAACCTATATTCCTCAAAACTATCCAGATCAGACTACTTACGGGTACAATACCAGCACACAAAATACAAAATAATAAACAATCAAAAACAATAATAATTATAATAATAATAATTAAACACACACAAATCTGTACTATTTAATTACATTTCATTAACGTAAATAATGCTTAATAAATGGAGGGCTGTGATTTTGTGATCTATTTAGATGTTTGTGTTATTTAACATGATTAGTATAAGTAATTTACATTTCATTAACGTAAACAATGCTTAATAAATGGAGGGCTGTGATTTTGTGATCTAAATAACATGATTAGTATAAATAATTGTTTTTTATTTACCTTAAAGTTACCGTTAACCTTTCTTCGGCTGTAATGGTGCAACGATAATTTGTAGTCTTTTTTGTTATATGTACTCTTAACAAATCTGTCAATTTCAAAAATTGCCAATATTCCATACGATAATACTCATAAAATTTTAGGCTATCTCTCTTCAATTCCTCGAAAATGGTGTGAAACTCCCCATGGATTAGTCTGTTTTTCCAAATATGTTTTACCCATATTTGTTTCCGCTTGCGCTTACGTTTCCTATGTTCTATTTCAAGTAATCTTGCTAACAAATATATTTCTTCGTCGGAGCTATCTAAATCCATGTTTCGAAAAGCACACGTTAACACACCGAAAACAAAACTTAGACTGCGCGGAATACTGGCACTGCCTTTGTAGTGTATCCACCCGACTCCGAGCGCATCCGACCGGCTCCGAGCACATCCAACCGCACCCGCTTTCAGATCTCTTCCAGCCGGTCGATGTGAAATAGTTGGCGGCTCCGCTCCGGCCAATTCCAAGCGTATACGACCCGGTCTGTGTGAAAAGAAAAAAGCAGGCCGATGCTCTCCGAGCCGGTCTGTGTGAACGGACCCTTAGAATCAAAAGAAGTTCTTGGAATGACGAATATGACATTCGATAACACTTGTAGTGCCCTGTAGACACCCCTTTACCTCCGACAATATACATTTATGATATTAGTATTAAGTATAATTAGCGACAGTATAATTAAAGTTCTTGTACAAGCAACACGTCTCCTTCATTCAACACCTTCCGAGTTCCGACGTTACATGGCGACCCTGCCAGGCGGTGCGCTGCAACAATGCACGCGCACCGCCGCGGCCTATTACTTAAAAGGAAAAAAAATATTATAAGAAATCTAAATTAAATTATGAAAAAAATATTAACGGCAATACCGGACGTGACGAAAAATAATAAGAATATAAGAAAAGGACTGATATTACTATTTTTTTAAAGAAAATTACAGAAAGTATTTAATAAACTAATGAAGATCAACTTAAAAAGATAAACTTTATGAAAATTTCAAAGGTAATATGAAGAATAAAATACTTAATATTGATAATTATGAGAAGTATAATGAAGAAAGGAACAGCAGTTGTA